GGAAATCACGACTCAAGAAATTTAATTTTTACTATCTCATAAATTTTATTGGTACTTTCCTGTTATCTCAGTACCTCATTCCAAGACCACACTACCATCCAGACAAATCCTTAGGACGAGTTCATAATCACGACGACCTACCAGAAACCGTGAATTTTATTTTCCGACTTTCTGCTGAAACTGATTTTGGGAGGTGGTTAGGTAAAGTTAGGTTAGGTCAGGTTATGTTAGTTACGAATATCTTTTAATTAACATAACCTGACCTAACCTAACCTAACTTTACCTAACCACCTCCCAAAATCAGTTTCAGCAGAAACCCAAAGAAAGCAGAAACTGATTTTGGGAGGAGGTTAGGTGAAGTTAGGTTAGGTCATGTTAAATTGGTCAGAGGGAAGGTACAGAGATAACAGGAAAGTACCATTTTATTTATTTTTATTGTATTTTTGATTTACTTTTATCGTCTCCCGAGCCAGGCATTCGGCACAAACGAAATCCCGCCGAAGAAAGGAAAGAACTTGTTCAAACTGTGCTTGGAAGCGCTGAATGATTTCACGCTCCGGATTTTAATGGGCGCAGCCTTGGTGTCAATCGCTCTGTCGATTTATACCACTATGAAGGCCAACGGGCCCGACGGAGAGGAGTCGACGAATCCCGAAATGATCGAAGGCATCGCCATCATCGTCACCGTCCTCATTGTCGTCATGGTGTCTGCATTCACCAATTTTAATCGCGACAGAAAGTTCCGCAAACTACAGGGACTCGTCAACAAGCAAAGCAAATTCCTCACATCAAGGTAAAAATTCCACTATGAATGCAGTATTGCAGGGGAGATAAAAAATTATTTTTATTCCGTTGATGGACTTGATCAGTTCCAGGGAAGAGTTCATTTTCCAGAAAGCCAAATCCGTTTCAAGCTTTTTATAACCCATTTTAGAATTGATTTCAGAACTTTCCTCCAAAAGGCCTTAATTAAATGAATAACCTGAAGCTATTTCGAATGACCAACCCGTTCCAAATCATCCATGAAACGTTTTTCAGAGAATTTCTGAATAATAACTAAATATATGAGAGCGAAGAAAATATGACGAGAAAAAAAATCGGGGGAAATGTGGAAGAGAAAATTCAACAGATCCATGTTTTGGAAAGGTGAATTCTAAGAAGCACTTTGAAGCATATGCAGGGGAATTCAATGAAACTATTTAGAATGAGTAACCCATTGCATGTCCATTGAAATTTGCTTGTCTCGCATTTTTTGAACAACTAAACAAATGACAGGAAACAAAACTAAAAAAAATGTTCGGGTAAATGTGGAAAAAAAATTCAACAGCTATCCTAGAAAAAAATGAAAGAGAAAATGTGAACATGGTCACGGAACGAAAAATTTTCGTAAGCAACTTCCATTTAAATGCATAAAACGTTCCTTGACGTCTTCGCCTTCAAAAATGTCATAATCGAGGATTGGATTTACTGTATATGCACTTGTTATTTTAGCAGGTTTTCTTTAATTTTTAATTTTTCCGCAAATTTTCGTCATTTTTCACAAAATTCAGATTGCTAATTTTCTCGCGGAATGCATTTTTCTCGAAGAGGAACATCTCCCCGTGAGATTTTGCGCATTGGAGCAGCACTCAGAACCGTATAATGATTGCTGTTGAACTGGTCACAGAAATAATCATGACGTTAGAATGAATGCGTTGATAATAATAATAAACCCAACTATGCAACTAAAGGAATTTTTTACATGAAATCGATCGCGAATGAAGCCCGTTGCTGGAAAGGATTCAGTGCCCTTTACGACTCTTTGAAATGCAAGGGTTCACGATTCCTTCAACAACCATTTTCGGTCATGGTCCGCAGAACACAAAGAAGAAAGAACCCAGTATTCCGGGTAAATGCAAATCACGAAGCAAGTCAAACCCACATAAGGGGGAAAAAATATGCAAAATCTCGAAGAGCAAAACGGCCTGGTGTTCGCTTTCCGATTCGCACTTCCCTCGTATATAATCACCTCATATAAGCCCTTCTCAGAGTTTTGTCTTACACCGCAAACCTCTCTCAAAATAACAACGCTTCGCCGCACAAAATCCCCCACACAATTCAACGCCATATAGAAATATTACAGTACTGTTCTGTATTCCGTGAAACGTGAAGCGTCATTTGTACTGTACATTTTTTGTTTTGCCTTCTGTATTACGAAACCAGAGACGGGAAACTCGCGGAGATTCCAAACACGGAAATTGTCGTGGGCGACGTTTGCGTCATCAAGTACGGCGACATTTTGCCGGCTGATGGAATTGTCCTGGAATCTATCGACCTGAAACTGGACGAATCCTCGCTGACCGGAGAGAGCGACCGCATCAACAAGACCTTGAAGAAGGACATCCGGCTCCTGTCGGGTACCGATATCGTGGAGGGCAAGGGTAAATAACGTCAGTCTGTCTGTCGCTCATTTATTGCTGGATTTGTTTTTCTTTCTTTTCATTACTTTTGTCAACTTGACTTAGGGTTAAAGAAAGATATAATGCAGTGGAAATTTAAAATGTCTCACCACTAGGTAAAATTTAATGGTCAAGAAATCCGTTACAGCGTAGTTTTCATGGCAAAGCATTTTTTGGTACTTTCCTGTTATCTCTGTACGTGATTCCCAGACCGCACTACCATCCAGACAAATCTTTAGGACGAGTTCATAATCACAAACTACCAGAAACTGTGAATTTTATTTTTCCGCATTCTGCTGGAACTGATTTTGGGAGGCGGTTAGGTAAAGTTAGGTTAGGTCAGATTATGTTTGTTACAAATATCTTTTAATTAACATAACCTGACCTAACCTAACCTAACTTTACCTAACCAGCACCTCCCAAAATCAGTTTCAGCAGAAACCCCAAGAAAGCAGAAACTGATTTTGGGAGGCAGTTAGGTGAAGTTAGGTTAAGTCAGGTTAAATTGGTCAGAGGGAAGGTACAGAGATAACAGGGAAGTAGGTACAGAGATAACAGGAAAGTACCCATTTTTCCAATGGTCTCCGGCAGAAATTTTCAATTGAAAAAAGTTTTGCAAAAATTAATCTTTCGTGATTTTTTCCTGATTTCATTAAAATTATTCGAATTTCTGAATTTGTGGTAAAACAAAAAACACCAAACGAAACGTACAACTAATATTTCACTAGAAATCAAAATAGCAGATGATATCAAAGAATGCATTTGACAACGCTTCTAGAAGAAGATTAAAATTTCATTCAAAAACTTTGTTACTTCTGTTCGTCATAATTTGTTCTAGAAACTATATTTTTCCTTTAAAATGTTCGATGTCTCCACCAAAAGAGGAGGATTTGGAAGAATGGACATCCAATTTCAGAGAGGAAAAAAAAAATTTCTTGAGCGATGAATATGAAAATTTTCTTGCTTCCTGAACGTTTTGTTACAACGAAATTTCACTAGTTTCTGAGGTGGACTGAACCACTTTTAAGACTTACCAGCTTTTACAGCCTTACCTAACAATAGCGCCTTGAATTTATTTGAAACAACTTGAGCTGCCTCGGTTAACGAACTCGAGTCTCATTTCAATTAGTCGTTACCTGAAAGTATTCCTAGCAAGTAAAGTTGAATACGTTGAAGGAAAATGTAATGCACACTTTGTTGACTTTGTTTTTTTTTTTAAACATGAAAATTAAAAAAATATATACGTAAAATTACAAGCCGGGTTCACAAGATTCACCGAGGCGGAGAAAATCACTGCTCGAAATTGAAATTAATATAATAAATACACGTGCATAAAATGATTCAAATCAGCAGTAAAAGGAATTCCAGCTGTTCTATCTAAACAATTGAACCTTTCTAAGCAATCGATCGGTTGAATTAGTATTCAACGGAAAGCAGGGCATTAGGAACTGAAGGCTCTTGCCCCGATCAACTTCGATTGTATCCGATCAGACACCATAGCGTGAAATCTAGCTCTTGAATCGCAGGAAAGATGCTGGTGCTCGCAGTGGGATTCAATTCCCAGTCTGGCAAAATAATCAAACTGATTCAAGAAGGGGGTTCTCCGGTGCACCAAGATGAAAACGAAACTGAAGTAGTCAAGCCGCGGTTTTCCTGCTGCCCTTGCTGCATGTGCATACGATGTTGTACCAAGGTTAGGTATTGTGCCAACAAAACGTGTTTGAAAATCCACAAAATGGATTCAATTTCTCACCAAAAAAAAAGGCCGAGTTGATTTACAATTACTTTCGGCAAGGACTAAAGCCTTCGGTCGATGCACCAAGGGTTTCTAGAGTTTTAGCACGAAATGACTCGAAACTCAGTTAATCTAGTCCAGAAATATAAAAGAAAATGCTTAATGAATTTTGTTGCATTCACGAAAAATTTCGATCGCGGAGCCATTTCTCAAATCAATTAATATTTAACCCCAGTGAATTTCAAATATTTTTTTCTGGCGTCCGAAAAACGAAGACTTTCAACTTCCTCGCCTTGCAAAACGGGCAAAGTGAAGCACAGTATTTAACTTTTCATTATTTTCTAGAATTGGTACTTCTTAAAAATCTCATTTATTAAATAGTGTCCCTTTTCGTATTGTCCTAAACCCCCAGAAGTACCCACAGAGTCCTAATGGTTCTCCACGGACCAGATGGTGAGAACCACTTATTAACCCAAAGACTATCAGATGTAAGTGGAAGAAAAATTTCACTTCATCATCCACATTAAAACTATCATATTTGGCACTTTTCTGCCCACACCATGCAAACCTGAAGTAAAAAGTCAGCCATCCATGTACTGTGCAGTCATTTCCTCTAGTATGCCAACCATGCGCGACTTCGAAGCCATTTTTTATGGTTTCTAAAAGTTGAAAATTATTTAAAATCCATGATGCAAATCGGGAAATTAGACTTTTCCTAGTGGTAGCCAGTCAACTATGGGACCAATATGAAGGTCTTCATTTCCGTTTTCCATACAGACACACGACTGTCTGATCATTAAAGGACGTTATTCACTGCATTTCCTCGAATATAAAACTCAATTGACTGTAGGACACCTATACAGTCAACCCCCGTCTAACAGACTTGATTCGTGCAAGGGACAAGTCTGTTAGACGAAAAGTCCTTTACACGAATTCAATTACATAAAATATTGAAACTTTCAATTTTCAACACTAATTTTGAACCAAAAGAAGTCTGTTTGGCGGATTTTGTCTGTTGGGCAGGAGGAAAAACTGCTTGCAGAGCTGGTCTGTTTGGCAAAAATCCCTTACACGGGAGGTCTGTTAGGCGGGGGGCCACTGTATGTCCCCCTCAAAAATTGAAGCAGGTGAACCTCAATAACTCGTACCTCCCTAAGTCGAATACCCCCTAAGTCGAATTTTTTCCAGGTCTCCGTCTGAATCCCCATAGAACCAATAGATTAAAAACCTCCCTAAGTCAAAAGGTTTTCCCCTCAAACCTCCATAAGTAGAATTTTCTGCGGCCTGTTGGCCATTATTTTCTTGAAAAATAAAGAAAAATAATAATAAAAACAGAAATTTATGTGCTTTAAAGGAAGTGAAAGACTTAATTGGGCAAATGAACCACTGCCTCCAAGTTCAGCAGCCTTTTAACCCATTTAAGAAGCCATTTAAGCCCCAGAATATCACATCAACATTTTCATTTTTTCTAAGTTTCCCAGAAAAAAAAGGGCTTTGTATTGTAGTTCCAACTTATAAAATTCAAAACCTCCCTAAGTCGAATTTTTTTGCAGGTCCCTTGAAATTCGACTTAGAGAGGTTCAACTGATTATTATAAAACGCACTTTCCATCAAATTCAATTTCTTCAGAAGAAGATATTCCACTCTTGATTAGTTTACCAATAATGAATGTCCCCGAGACACTTCAAATGGAAATGAGAATTGTAACTCTCTTGTGATTCAACTGAAAATAGTTCCCCGGTTTTTTTTTTTTAATGTGCTTCACTTCCATACTTGACCATATTTAAATGATGGTGCATCGGTGAGTAGTCAGAATATATTATTCACCCCACCTTCGGATCTTCGGCGCAACTACAGTACAGTATTTGATTTTTCGCAGTATTAGAGATGGCCTCCGGTTCTTTAAAATTTATTTTTGGCAAAATATTGCATATTATATTTAATCACATCTGGTTACAATTTCAAGAGGGAGAGAGAAAATCAGGAGGAGGAAGACGAGTTCAAGTCGGTACTCCAGCAAAAGCTCACTGTCCTGGCAGTACGCGTGGGCTACATTGGCACGGCATTCGCAGTACTCACGTTCCTCGTGCTCATCATCAAATTCAGCGTGCAAAATTACGCCATGAACGGAGCGGGCTTCGACCTGCGCCACATGGAGCAATTCATTTCCTTTTTCATCACTGGCGTCACTATTCTCGTGGTGGCTGTGCCTGAGGGGCTTCCACTAGCTGTCACTTTGGCCCTGGCCTACTCTGTTATCCACATGACCAAAGACAATAACCTGGTGCGACACCTCAACGCTTGTGAGACTATGGGTAATGCTACTGCAATCTGCTCGGATAAGGTGGGTTCTCTCCGGATTTTTAAAAAGAAAGGATATCCGTTGGTTTTGGGTGTTGCAACGCTTGTGAACCCCAAAGAGATGGTTAAAACATTTTACAGTAATAAGAAGCTGATTTAAGTTTGAAAAATCGGCAGACAAGTTCCGGAAAATATTCACTTCATCAAAGTAACTTATCGAAGTTTAGATGTTTGAGACTGGTCTTGGATCAATTCTCGAAGAAAAAATTAAAAATAGAAAAAAATTATTACTCCGACTGCCAGAACAAATGAAAATATTTTCTTCTTCAAACTAATTCTGGTTGCGTTCCACGTTTTTTTTTTTTTTTTAATGAGAGAAATCACCAGAAAACACGAAAACACATAAATACGCAGAACAACGCAATTGTTCGATTTCTGTTGAATAAAAGTATTTTAACCTATTTTCCGGAGTTTTCGGCTCATTTTCTCAACAGATCTTCATTTTGATTCAAGCTCTGAATATTTAATTCGTTAGAAAAATCATGATTCGATGATTTCGTATAAAAATGGTTTTGATCAAGTTATAAATTTACTCCAATAGAATTAATTCTGCTAATAAAAATATCGTATTAGACGAAAATTCTCTAATTTCTCGGGGTGAATGACTGCCAATAAGTTTTAAAACTGTCCTTTTTCGTCGTATGCGAAGATGCACACCCTACATATTTGAAAGTACAGAAACTCGAAATTATATTTTCAGCCTCGCCATTCCTTTCAGCCCAGTCCTTGAAATTAAAAGTGTGTATCTGCCATTATTCAGCTCCAAAATGTGTAATTCAAGGGACCAAAGCTATCGAGTTTTACACAAATTGGTCACGCTTTATTTTCTAACCAACGTTTCTTAGTTACATTAAATTACCGTACAAAATTCTCTGAGGAAACCGGTTAAATCTGAACGCTTGGAACTGTTCGATACGCCACATGAAGGATCCAAAAAACCAGCCCACTACAAACATTAATTGAAACGAGGGCTTCAAAAAGGTTCTGAATATTGGACGGATTGAATTGAAAATCGTTGAATTGAATTGAATTGAATAGGCAAATTGGAGGGCTTGTCTCTTTCGAATCACCTGAATCATTCCGAAACGTTCGGGGAAAAAATAAAATCAATACTTTTACAAAATAAAATCGCATGCATGGATTACTATCTATACATTGATTCATCACAGAAATTTCATTTTGAACCTCACTTGTACATTACTTGTTTATTAGTCATTATTTTCGACGCTCTCTTATAGGTACAGTTCACATGACCTTTAAAATCCGCCTTTTCCATGTCCACCGAAAGAGTATTTTTTTTAAATACATTTTCATGCGGATGTAAATCGATTTTAAAACCGAGTACAAAAACTTGCATCAACGAGACAAAAATCTAAAAATTCGAAACCGAAAACTTGTCGACCAGCGAAACTTCAAAAACTTGTTTTTTCCTCGATTGGAACGGTCAAAAGAAAGAAGCGCGAGGTTGAACGAAATTCAAAATGGAATTCTACTAATCAAGTGGACAAGCAGGTATAATATCTCCCGAATGTCTCCCAGACAGGCACGTTGACAACAAATCGAATGGAAGTAGTGGCCATCTACGTGGAATCGAACTTCATTGCTCCGATCAAAGGGAAGGTTTCCAATAAGATTTCCAAGAGTGTTAGAAAGCTTCTCGTGGATAGCATCGCTTTGAACTCGTCTTACACATCGATGATCGTGCCCAGCGAAATACCCGGTGGGCCCCCGAGTTTCATGGGAAATATGACTGAATGTGCTCTTCTCGGCCTCGTCAAGGAACTCGGGTGAGACGAAGCATACTTATTTTTGGCGAAGAAAATGTCAAAAATTCTCAGCTTAACATCATCAGTCAACAGACTCAAAGAGCTCGTGATTTTTGCTAAATTTCTGTATCTGGGTGATTCGCGCGCTATGTTCAACCCACAAACCCGGAATATTTAGAGGACTGCAGTTGAAAACCGACACCGTGTAATTTATGTCAGAAAAGAGGCCGGAAAACGAGAGAAGTTCAAAAAATTTCGGACATCACTACAAACAATTCAACGGGTTTCAAGACTATAGAGAGTAAATTAAATAATACACTATTTATTAAAAATGCAAACCCCGAATAGATGATCATCGCTTCCTGAGCATGTCACTCGAGTTAGAAAAGCAGGAATTTTTTCTGGGACGGAAAGAATAGTAGGACGAAATTGTAATTTGTAGTACTGTATTTTATGCGTTTCATTTCTTTTTAAATGAGTGGAAAGGATGCTGAAGTGGAAGGCGAAGGTTTATTTGCTCAATTAGTCTTTCGCTGCGTTTCAAAACACATCAAGTTTCACATTTTATCGCTTTTCTCTTTCCTGTGTCAACAAAATAATACTGTAGCCAAAAGGACTCCGAAGATTTCGAGTCACGGAGGTTTGAGGAGGAAATCCTTCAACTCTGGAAGATTTTTTAATGTATTGTCTCTGAGGGAATTCAAACAAACACACTTGTTGAAAAGTTTCGACATGGGGAATAATTTGACTCGAGGAAGTTTGAGTTGCCGAGGTTCAACTGTATATACCGTATTCACACATCGAGCACCACGCGCCCTGCTTGAGTAAGACACGCACCCCAATTTTTTCAGGACGCGAACCCCCAGATTTAAGACGCAACCCCCTTTGTGAGCGACTGAAAAATCTGAACATGAATTCCACCTGATTTAAATTAATCTTCAACTTTTTTATTCTTACAATAAAAAGGTCATCAAAATGGTCCCATTATATTATCGTGTGGCGCGCACCTAAAATTATTCTAAAATAATTTTTTACATTGTATCCCCGCCTATGACGCGCACCCCCCCCCCCCCCCCCCCTATTGAGGATCCCGTGAGGGAGGAAGTGCCGGCGGCCGTGGCGGCGTGTCAGCGGGCGGGGATCACTGTGCGCATGCTGACCGGGGATAATTTGAATACGGCCAAGAGCATAGCCACGTGAGTTTGGAAAATTAATCTTTTTTTTTTACATTTTTGACGATCAGTTCAGGAAAATATTCCGTCAGTTCTCCAAGTTGCCCCACTACAGCAAATGAGGCCGGTTTTATGTAATTTCTCGAAAAAAATAAGCGGTGCGTGAAGTATTGGATATCATTTACAAATGGCTTGGCGGAACATCTTCACATGAGTTTTGGCAGATGAAATATTTCAAAATTTGTCACATCACTCCACGAAGATTGTCAGTTAGTTTGCCAAATTTTCCTCCAATTTTGTTTGCCACTTGAATTTGATTTAGTGAATATCTTTTCAACTCAATAAGAACATTTGGAGCATTGAATAATATACCACTGTACAGTTCATTGAATTGTTGGCATCTGTAAAAATGACATCCAAGTCACAAAAAGAGAAGGAAGTCCCTCTGCCCTACAGGTAATTTTTATTAATTAGCTGAATTGATGGGAAAGTGATGGGAAAAGTACCGAAGAATTTTTCTTGCATAGATCGTAGGATTGGAAATATCTGTTCTTGCAATTAAGCTTAATAAAAGTCAATTTTCCTAAAATTTTAATTGGCAATTTTGCCATGCAATGTCCTCATGCGGAGTCAGTGTCCCTATGTCGGGCCATTTTAATGATTTTTTATTGAAAAATAAGTGTCCCTACGTCGAATTGTCCCCATGTCGAGGTGTCCGCATGCGGGGGTCTCACTGTAGTCGATATAAAGCGCAAAATCCGATTTCCGATATACCAAATTTCCGATCAAATATTTTCGTATCATCAATTGAAATAATGGAAGTGACGTTAGTTATGTATGTACAGTACTTTCCATTCGTCTGCTGTCGCGACGAAACAAAAGACAAACGACGAGGCCATG